GGTATGTTATATCTTTTAGCAAATTCTTCATTTAAAAAATACATTGAAGCTTTTAAATCTAACAACATAAAGGCTTTGTGATGTTTAGGTCTTAAAATTGTATTTATTATAAAATAAAGAGAGGATTCTGAGGAAAAAATAAGACCTTCGCTAAGTATTGTATAAAGTTCCATTTGCACAATCTCTATTATATCTGGACAAAATTGCTTTCCAACATACTATTTTTTTTTTCAGCCGTACTTCTCATTTTGTAGTTGCATTGTTTCTTTAGAAAATATTGAGTACTGTGCTTAGGTTTTCTACAATATAAGGGCAATTCTTCCTGATGACGACAAGTCTTTTTTTGCTTATTAAGAAGTTTGAAATATATTGCATCAATTTGTATATCTTCTATTTTTGAATATATGTATTAAAAAGAAATTGGTATTTTCATTGAATTATAATAATGTTAAGATGTACTTGTATAACTTTTAGATCAAAATTAAAAAACTTGATTATCACACCTCAAAATAAAGTCAATTAGTTGGCTCAATATTTGAAGATCAGATAAGTTGAGAATCAATTTATTTTACCTCATATTCTAATCTATAGAAAAATTAGCTAACAAGTATAGCATCATCTTACTTGATATCACTTATAAGTTATTGAAATTAAAAAGTTTATAATATTACCTATTAATTTTCTTATCACAAAATATGGATCTTATTGATTGCAATACAAATTATACCATGTACTCCATACATAAATCAAAACTCCACTAAAAAAGCTTCTAGATTATCTAATATTGGATCTTGTCATTCAAAAAAAGATGAAAAAGAGTATACCAATGAATCTAACTTACAATATTAGAATTGAATAGCTTTAGAGTTGAAGTTCAATCACAAGTTATACTTAATTGATAAATCCTTGAAACTTGGATCTTATGCCATCAAACTTCTTGGATAATACAAATCTTGTTTCTCTAATACTGAAAGGATGTTCTACCATAGAAGAAGGAATATAATTTGGTGTAGATATTCGAGCAGCTCTTATCATCTTTGTATTTTTGCTCTCTCCTATTCTTATTGCTCTATGTGAGAGTAAATTGAATTGATGCATTACAAGCATTAATTCTTTCAAGTGTTCTTGCATTTATGCCACTGCACTCTTTATTTCAAGAAGTTCTACTATAATAATACCTAAAGAAATAAAGATTTTTAACATCACTCAAAAGAAATTGAAGAAAAGACTTAAAAACAAAGAAAAAATACTAAAAATAATATCAATTTAGAAGAGGATAATTTGCAACTCCTAATACACTTAAGTCTTATCAAGAAAAAGAGGTAATCCATTCTTAATCAAGAAAAGATAAAGCTTTGATATTATAAGTATATTCTTATTAATTTATCAAGGATAAGAACTTAATTAAAGAAAATAATCAAATGAGTCTCTTTCAGAGAAATATAACAAAATAAAAATAGAAAAGTATATATAGTAAAAAAAAATTGAAATGGTTATTGTCAAAAAACAAAGAAACTAGAGACTCTTGAAACTAGACTAGAAGCAAAAAAGGAATTGATAAGAGTGAAGAAGGCTTTACTCTTGCCTCTCTATATACTATCTACTTAGGATCTATGTAGCAACTTTCTACAAGACCTCCAAAAACATGTTGACTTTGTATAATACATATCTTAACTTGTAAGAAAAGTTTTTTATATGGGTATTACATAATTAGCTTATTCCACAAGCTATCAACATATGTGACACATGATTAGATTTTGTACCAAGTTTTTAACCTATCAATCAAGTACAAACATATGTAAAATCAAAACAGTATCTAAGAAGTTCTTTTAAAAGGTATTATAAAATTAATCTATTTTTATCTATTCATATTACTTAAATAATAATAAAAATAAATATATATCCATGGCACCTTGCTAGATATAAAACTTAATTTTCAAGGTAAGTTATCTATATGTGTTCTATAAACTACTAATACATGTATTATTAGTAGGCTAAGTTAATTAGTAGGCTAAAAACTTGGTCAATTTATTTTTACTTAATTCTACTTAATTATATAGATAATTCTTAAAGTAAATATGTATGTCTATGATAGAGTATTAAGCTCTAGTACAAAATATATTATTTCTTTTTTGAAAGATTGATGAAAAATATAAAGATTTTGAAAAGATTAGCACATCTTTAAATATACAAGTTTTCTTTTTAAGTAGTTATCATGGGATCACTTTAGAGAGAATATATTTTTATGCTTATCAAAGCTTAATATTACATAAAAAGATAAATAATTATGGATATTAGAGGATTAAAAGACAATTGACTTGACTTGTAGTACTAAACTATCTAAAAGATGCTTAAATTATAAGGCATGAAAATTTTCTATATTCTACCAATAACTAACACCACAAAGACTACTCAGTAAAGCTTAATTTTACATCTATTTGAGATTTCTAAGCATACACAGCTTTAAATATGGTTCTTAAGCATGCACAATATCCAATTGATTTCTTCTCTAGTGCTTACTATACCACCACTATCAAATATATGATATAAGGTGTGGTTTATAAATTGATAAAATAAAAGCAAGCTAAATGTTTGTAATTCTCAAAAAGCCAAAAATGGGCATCACAAAATCTGCCTAGTCTATGATTTAAGTCCCAAATAACAACTAAATAAGAAATTTTGGTTATAATTTATGTCAAATAAGGATATATTTACTATTATTAAAAATATAAGGATATTCTTGATATTTTAGCATATTTAAAGAATATATATGATATATTTTTATAAATTTATCATATTATCTTTAGTTTGTGTAATATCAATTAAATATATTTGTGTGATTCTTATTTATATTATTTGTATTATAATTCATTGCAATGATTAATATTTTTATATGTCAATGAATTTCTTTAATTTTTTTTTTGAAGCAAATTAAAATTTTTTAATATTAATATGTATATGTATTTTGATAAATAGATATAAGCTCAAATTTTAATACGTATTTTTAAAGATAAAACTTGAGCACAAAATATTAATAATGATGAATTTAAAAAATTAAATATGATATTACTTAAATTTCACAATATCATATGAATATCAAAAGAATTGGTATGAAATAAATAGACATATCTTTAAAAAAATAAAACATATTTTAAAAATAAGAATAATGACTAACTCATAGATTAAATTTTATCATATGATTTAATTTATTATTATTATATTTTACTATATTAAACATGTATACTAAATTTTATTTTATTATTATTTGTTTCTAATATCAATATATAAAAATAAATTAATCTTATTATTAGAACATACGTGATTAAATATAATTTTTTAATAGGTAGGAAATAAAGACTTTTGGAAAGTTTTAAAATGTATTTATAGATTATTCTGCAGTTTTAAAATATACAAAGAACTATTTAACTTAATCATATAAATAGTTCAAATAATAATCTCAAGTTTATTTTTAAAAATGCCAATGATCGTCAAAGAATCTAAAAGCTTTGATACATGCATCATATGAATAAAATAGAGGCATTAGAAGTGCCTCTATTCAGAAGGTCTCTCTTTCAACAGTGCATGGTCTAAATAATACTAGCCTACCCACAAATAGTAACATCGAACAGAAATGAATTGCCATTAATACAATAAACGATACCAAGCATAATTTTAACTGTAATATCTCTACATTATCTAATAATATGATATAATAGCAATTTTTTTATTCAAAGTATTTTTTAAAAAAGAAATGACACATCATAAATAATAAGATATAAATAGATTATGTTTTGCAAAATATTAGTTTTTTATTATAATTTATAAAAAAATACATACAATATTTTAATCAAAACACGATATTTTTTTGAATTTTTTTTATTTAGTTTTATTTTTTAAAAAAATAGGCTGAATTTTGAGAATAATTTATTCTTTCCACCTTTTTCATTTTACAAATTATTTTTGATACATTTTGAGTTTTTGACTTGGAAATAAATTTTAGGATTTTTTTAGTTTGTACTGTCATAATTATTTTAAATGCAAAATGTGTATTTGCATTACAGAACTTTTTTCTTTTATGACCTTAATAAAATTGAATTTGAAAATTTGAAAATAATAATTTCACCTATTAATTTTGAATGTATGTATGTATATACACATCAAAATATAAATTTCAAATTCAAAAATTATATCTTAAGTTTTTACTTAAAATATTATCATTTATCACCAAAGTTCTAGAATGCTTTAGTCCCTCACAAAGATTTGGCTTCTTTTTGTTAAATTTTTGAAAACATAATGCATAATATTGAAAATCTAAAATTGCCTTCAACAAAATTTTGTTGAAAATGTATACTGTAACATATTTTGCAACACATAAAAAATTCTTCAATTATTTCAAAATTTATTCTTTCTTAATAAATATTATAAAACATAACGTGTATTTTAAGAAATTTTCCTAGTCTGAAAAATTTTAATTTGTAATTTTGTATGAATAATATACATAACATATGATGCTTGGTTGTAAAGAAAATATTTTCTTTTATTTTAATGTTGAAATATTTATCCTCTTAATCCATACATACATGTCATTTGAAAATCTATTGGCTGCAATTAGAATCAATATTATTTGAAATAAAAGAATAATACATTTTATTTTAATATAAATTAAGAATATTGTTAATGCTACATCCCCAATTGATATTACTTCATTTCACATGACTTCTTTAAAGACAACTAGTTACCAGTTAATAATATGCCTCTTTTGCGCATTTTTTCTTTCTTTGCTTTAAGAAAGGATGGTGGTTGAAAGAGAGGCAATGAATCATTTATAAAAAAACAAGTCATAATTTTTTTAAAAGTAGAATAGGCCAATATTGGAATCAGATATTGAGCTACCAAATATGCCCTAAACATACAAGCACACTTTTTAGACAGTTTAAGTTGTGTAGAGGTCACATGGAATGTAGCAAAATTAATCAGGGATGTAGCATTCACAATTTTCATGTTACAAGTGAGATACATAAATTAGACATTTATAATGTTTATACAATTGTACAAACGGTGTTGCAGTTGGACTGACTAGTTCAGCTCACTAGGAAATCCAATTGACTGCCTCAATGAATTCAAAAAATGTACTTAATCTGCAACACTTAATATCTTCAATGCGTATACATTACAAACAAAAATTAAGAGAGAAAGAAAGAGAGAAGAATGTTGAACCCTGACCTCAAGACTTAAATTATCATCATTCTTTAAAAGCCAACCAACTTGTGCTTAGAGTTAACTTTTTCTTGACCTCAGACTTCATATTGGCCTCAATATTGATTAATCATGTACAACAGATCTAGCAACTACGATTGTTGTCTGTGAAAGGAATCTTGGATCGAGGAGGCAGAGGTGGAAAAAAAAGTTACCTAGGCGGCACAACGCAAAGGACATGGCATTGTCATCGTTGGAAGTCTTTTCATGCAATGCTCTGGAGTGCCAAAAGACAAGTGAACCCACGAAACATAAAATCTTCGAACATGAAGTCATGCAAACTGGATCAAACATTATGAACCACTAAAATTATAGAGTATATAGAGTTAAGAAGATTGAGAGGTCTGGAAGTTTCAATTTAGGGCTGCGAGAGCTAACAAGCACCCTCAATTAGGAGTGTAGATTCTGAAAATATCTGCAAGGGTTCAATAACAATATTCAAAACTAATATCTATTACAAAAAAATAAAATAAAATAAAAAAATAAATTGGACAATCTTGCAGAATGAGAAATCCTGTTTACAACAGTAGAAGAACAATACCTGCTCATGGGTCCAGAACCGCAGAACTCATTATATCACTCGGAATCAATTTCAACAACTTTGTCGGGGTCCGAGTCGAGCGGTGAAGCTGTTAATTGCTTTTAACTTAGAGGCTGTTTCGGCAGGCTGGCCAAGCCGAGCAGTGAAGCCGTCGCCAGCTTGCAGCTTCGGTACCGCGTCCTCAATTGGACCAAGCCGGGCAGTGAATGAGAGTCTTCTTGATGCTGCTAATGGTCGCTGTTGTAACCTAGATATATATCTTTGTCTATGCAAAAAAGGCTGCCATATATACATCCAACACACTTTCCCTCAGCAATGTGCTCAAACCCCACAGAATCGCACATGGAAACTGTGAATTGTGCAGTGCATCACCATCATGAACATAAAGAAGGATGTGTAAAGATAGAGAACTGACGATACTTATGAAGCGACTGAAAAGGACTTAAAGTCCACATACATTATACATGTGATGCAGCTCAGGGAAACTGTGGAATTGAGATGAAACCATTTCAGCTTCAATACAAACTAATACAGAGGGGACTGTACATTACAACTGAGGCGAAAGACGAGGAAATTTGAAAACAAATATCAACCATGAAATTGGGAAGGAATTTGAAACCCGACTCCGAAATTTGGACACAGAGAAACTCGAAACGGCACATGGTTAAGGATCTTGAGGGCGTTGATGCCAACAAGAGAGACATACCAAGCAAGGTGACAAAAGGGATCGTCTTGACGATGTCTTCTGAGTCTTCAACATTCTTAGCTTCATAGCTGGCCTGGACACATGATCTGCCTTGTCTAACCTCTTGTCTCGTCGTAAATCAACGCTAAACCTCCCCGATTGACATTCTATGTCCAAATACCTACTATTGTGATCAACTACATCCGTCACATATTTGAAGCTTCGGTTGGAAACCCATTGGGGATGCGGATCAATTAAGCCTCCATTGCTATCTGCTTCTAATGAGAACGTTGTGAGTGACGAATTTGTATCTGATATAGATCCATCATCAGCATCAATATCATCGGGATCATGATACGCATCGCTATGCTCAAAGTCTTCGTTGTCCAGCTCCATTTCTGAGACAAGGATTCTAGGAATCAATGAAATACTAATTGTGAGATGCTGTTGATGCGCATCCTCAGGGCATTTGACGCCGTCATTTCCGAAAACAAAGGAAGAAGCGACCGGAGAATTGAATGGAAACGCTGCTTCGTCCATTTTCGCTCGATCATCCTGAAATTTGTTGAGCTCGTTTTTCACTTGTTCCAAGTCGGGCTCGTCGAGGTCTGGCTCATGTGTAATATCCATCTTCAAACGCCCAGAATTTAACACGAAATCGTTTAATTCCGACTCAAAATCCAACCATCTACGGCGTTCAGATGCGAATGAGTCAAGCGCTCCTATCTTCAACCGCCTGGATCCTCCATCAACGCTAGAATTCAAGCTGCTCAGGGAGATGTCCCGTTGTGACACATCAAGTTTGGCTCTAGATTTTACAGATTTTCCTGGTTCAGTGGATCGGTGATGTCTGCTTCCATTGACGTTTATGGACAAAGTGTTGGCTGGTATTTGCTCCAAATCCAAGTTGAATGACTTCCTGTTTGATGACCAACGCTCAACCGATGGTTTTCGTTTTGCTCCTCCAGTAGCAGGATCAGCATGGTGTTCTTGGGAACAATGTAAGGCAAGGTCGTTGGGGATTTGGAAGATAACGTCATCCTCAATAATGATATCATCCTCGTCGGTATCGTCATAATCAGACATCGCATGTATCGAAATAGAGCACCGACCTGGGTGAAGACTATGTTGCCATTCGTTAGCTCCTATCTGAGTGGATGTACACTTGGTGTCGGGCTGGTATAGTCTCTGCGAACGGTCTCTTGAGAATTCGTATCCAAATAATCTCTCTGAAAACGTTGGTGCTGCCGGACAAATAACTTTAGGATCAGCAGCGCTCATTGAAGAGCGTCTATTCATCTTCGCTGCAGAACCATTATTGCTTTGAATTTTTCCATTGTCTTGGGAGTTGTTTTGTGTCGTCTCTACACCCGTATCGCTGGATTTTTGTAACCTTGACTTCCCTAATCGGTGCTTAAATTTTTTGTCAGTTGTGTGATCAGTCCCACTTGTGCCAAAAGTAGAATGCGGAGAATTGGGTATGCTACTGTTGACACCGCTTCGAAGCCGTGGAGAGGGGTAGAACATACTACTGGCAACATTCGATTTCTCGAGATACGGCACTGTTCCATTTTCGTTCAGATGAATATCGTTCTCAGCCAAAGGTATGCCACCCTTGTCACCCTTGCCAGCATTAGATGATATAGATGTAGCCATAACTGATGTACCACGTTTTCTCCCATGCGTATCCACCAAAAGTCCTTGTTGTCCTTCACTTCCACAAGATATGCAGGCTATTCCTGATCGGAACTTGTCCGAAATCACAGAGGTCATTGATGACTGTCTACTAAAGAATTGATCTTCTTCGTCACAGACATGAACTCCCATCAAACTTGGTTTCAGATTCAACTGAACCAGTTTGGGTTCATGAGCTTTAACCTCATCACTAGAAACTCTTCTACCCTCGAACGATGTCACGTTTCTTGGATGCGATTTTCTGCTCAGAGGAGGAACAACTTGTGTTTTGGATTTATTATCTTTGTCGGGTTTGCGAGTCCTTAATCTGCCCCTGTCTTCACTTTCCTTGATCTTCCACACTTGATCCATGTCTGTCGCGTCCAGATGAGACCTTACAACCTTCTGTAACCGGTTATCGTTCCAACAACCAGCCATGTCTTACTCGTATACAAAGATTCCCGCTGAAGCATATTTCATTCCACTCTACAAATATCTGAAGCCCATTAGCCAACGGCAACACGTGAGCTCATGAAGCGTGTGTAGTGATGTCAAATTGAGAGGTGTTGCAGGGATGAGCTGAGCATCCTCTTTAGTATTAGATGCAGGAAGCATTGTGTTAAGCGATTGAGGAGAACGAGATTGATACCAAAATATCCACTTGGGGCTTGTCGGTCCTACACCTTATCTAGCGAAATATAAGGAAGGAAATAGAGAGGCAGTTTGAATACCTCCTCTCATGAGACTCTTTCACAGTTTCATAATGCTATTATGAAAGAGAATGGGTGCTCCTTCAAAGCCCAGTAGGCCAGCTTTGTAACAATTTCATTCTCCAAGTGCACAACGATGCTCTTGCAACCACCTCGATCTTTTCCCCCGGAATGCTTGAAAACATGACCTGCAATCAGAATCCCGTCGCTTCAGCTGAAATTGATGATAAGAATTTCAGCTAGTTCTCAGAACAGACTTAGATTTACGTACAGTGTTCGCTTTCTCTTGACTTGACATTGACTGCACAGCAACACTTGGATAGATATCCAATCGTAATCTTGATTGACACTGGATGCAACTTCTTTTCTGTCTAAATTCAGTGTGCCAGATGTTATCCTGACCTCCAGTTAAGTAATCAAAATCAGGATAGCTTCCATTTTGAAATAATATACTCGACCCGAGTGCCTACGATATTTCAGTCACCCATCAAAGAACTACATGGCAGGTCTCCAAGACCAGCCTCGACATGAAATACCTTTAGGCTCTTTAAAAAGCCAAAATACAAATGGAAAAAAATTGTGAGATTACGGCATCAACCAATCTAAAACGCAACGTAGCTCTAGAAAATTTCGAAATTCGACAAATCAGAAAACTTGGAACCGAACTCTGTAGTTTCACATGTTTCGTTCCAACACTAACACCAAACAGACGACTCTTATCACAGAGAAGAATAATTCTCGACACCGCTGATCAGCTTCACTGAGGGATCGGTTCACAGACGAAGCATGAATGAGACGAAAGGTGTTCATATTACCTGCAACGAAGAACGGATCTCCTATGCATTGCAACCCGTCTCCAAGCGACCGTTTATTTTCGCTCATGCCACGACTGGGGGAACCACATTGGGCCCCCAGAATTCCCACCTTAACGCACCTATCTAGGAAGAACTAGGGATCACCCTTCATAGAATGTTTGTAGATTCTGTTTCAAAACCAGACGCTTGTCCGCTGACTGCAAATACCACCGGGAGATGAGGATCCACGCACAGCTGATGAGAGAAACTCATCTAGTGATACATACGTGAATTGATTTAGCCTCTAACCACCAGCGACAGTCCACATGCTCTCAACCACTTCCAACACAGTACAGTGGCTTCAGCCCGTTACTTAAGTGTAGGAATGAATTCACAAATCAGCTTTTCACGAACATGACTGCTGCTTACAGGAAACTGCACCAGCATTTTCGGTGGACTTAAGATTGATCCTTCAAAGTAAACCATGCTTCAACGTTTGCGAGAAAAGGAGAATGTCCCCAAAACACTACACTGTGCCTGTCTCAGGATATCCGCATTGCGCAAATAGTAAACACCTTAAGGTAGCCGAGGATCATCCTCTCCACCAAAAGATACCATGAACTTCAATCTTCCTCTCGACAACCTCAAATTCCAGATTTCCCGCGCACCATAAAAACCTACCCAATCACCTCTGCAACATAAGTCAATTGCTACCATTCTTCTTACACGACTCGATTGCTAACACAGTGGAGCTCCCCCTGTGCGCGCAAAATATCACACCACCATTCTTGTGACTTACAGAATTAACTCCACTCACTCGCCGTCCTAAAGCTCAAAACAAACATTCTCCGAACTCTGGAGGCAATGTACTTCCACTTCCCGAACATCTTTCCGTCGTGCAGATTGCCTCTCTGGAGCGTCTTTACAAAAGTTGTACAAAAATTCATGGAACATGCGCAACCTATCACTTTCTGTCCCACGAGAGGCAGAATCAAAGCACAATACACCTCTAACATCCGAGCAATGGGGTGACGACTGCAGGTTCCATTCTGAATGAGCATTCACTCGAATCATTCAGAACAAGACATAAAATCTGAGTCCAGAACTGCAGAGAGCTTCCATTGTCTCCCAGACGCCAAGCCCACATTCCCCGGCGAGCAAATCATGGACGATGCATCGAACTACCCAGCCGTCGCAGTCTACATGGCTGGTGGATTCCTCTCATCGACATAGTCGCGCCGTCCTGTTCCCTCCTACGAGTTCTCAAAGTGAACTTTTCCACTTCAGTGAGGTATGTCAAATAATACAGTCGCTACAACTGAATTCCTTTTCAACAACTTTGTAGAGTTGTGACGGTAATTTTCAGGAGCAATCTGATAGGGTTGACGGAACATTTAGTTCGTAATTACCCGATGATAAGGGTTTCTGTGCGTTACAAAACTGTCTATTTTTCAGTTTTAGGACCTCCCCGTTTGATGATATGTTTTGTGTTTGTTCACCGATATGTGCCGCAGTGGATCGTTCATGAGGTTTACTTACCCGGCTTGACACAGTATTTCTTCAATTCATTTTCTGTGTCCATGTTGTTTCATTTGCAATCTTCTTGATGTTCCTCCCCATGTAAAATTTTGCTTGGCAGTCTGTCACACTTCGTTTCTCCTCTGTTTTTACGTAGCTATGTTTAGTAATGTGGCATGGCTGCTGGCCAGTTACAGATTTCGGCTCTGTTGCGCTGTACCAGTGCGATATTCAACAATTACTGAATGTCATTGTGCAAACTGTTGATCTATACTAGATGAGCTGTAATTATATCTTACGGAGTTTGTCGCCTGGTGCCTTTAGCTCCGACAGCAGAAGTTGTCACGTGGTGCATCACACATGCACCAGTATATGCGGAATCACTTATTGGAGTGAGACAATGGCTCGTCTTTGTCGTGTTATGCATCAATCTGCGCTTGTTGAAATCATAATTGGCAACTTACGGCCGGAGGACGGGGCAGTCATGTTCGTGGGCATAACGTTTTGACAATCCGTAGGTCACTTGCGGTATTTCAGTAATTAACCTATACTCGTTTTGACTAACGATGCATTGCAGGTGAGCCACAGATTGGTTCATTAGGAAGTGTAAGCCACATTCGCTGTGGTTCCAGATGAAATATGAACTATCCGCATGCGTTTTGCACGTTGCTTGCACGTCCTGCAGAACTGTCAATGGGCTTACTAAACTACGCCAATGAGAGCTCTATCTCTGTAGGAGCCTAAATTAGTAAACATTTCGTTCTAAAAAAACAAACACCACATGCAGTTATCGAAATATTCTAAACATAGCTCTCCTGTTTCAAGGTTTGCTAGTTGGCCGGAGGTGAAAATTGGACGCATCATTTCTCTTCTGCTGGGAACCATCTAAACCAAGAGGCACCTGCAATCCAAGTCAATCACCAACAATTTCCAAAGACGAGAAAAGTGCACTGGGTGCCGAATCTCACTGCTACCTAGGTTCGAATGCCGTTCAGCTATTTCACAACCGAACTCTGAATATCTCCAAAATATATCCATACTTAGTTGGAAGGATGTCCCGTGCAAATTCAACGACCAAAAAAACTACCTCCGTACTCGACCATTTGCGTAGATTTTCCACCGAGGCTCGTGCACGCGAATCACCCTTCCGCTTGAATAGAAACTTTCATACCAAGGCCACACAACGTCATCATTCCGAGGAATACACAGATCATCACAATGTTCTGTCCATTGCGTAGAGCCGAGTTCACTCAAAATTTTGTCGCATCTAGTGAGAGCACAGTGGATATGTCACACCACAGAACACTTTGGTAGAATATTCTAACAAACACGCCATGCTGGCACAGATCAGCTGTGGCCTTGGTGCGGAGTTCGCAAACAATGCGCGACGTGACCCTCCCCGTCGCGAAGCGCAGCAACGGCAACACTTGTGCGTTTTTTCGACATGAAGGCAACATTGGACTCTAGAAGGAGCTGAACGAGATCAATGCCTTCGTCCGAAGAACCTTCTAGAAGAATCCTCGAATCGCGGGTAGCCGGCCCGGGCTGGAACCCTGCACCCGTCCCGTTGCATCCCAAGGCTGCAGACCCGTCTTTTGGCTCAAAATTCATCACCGTTCCCAGACTTTGTTTAGCAAAAATAAATGGAGAAAATGACCAAACTAGTACACAAATATGAGTTTGGGTATAAATTTAAATGGGTAATACGTGTTTTGAAATTTTTGGGGGGTTTGAGGCAATTATATGGGTGAGGGAATTTGATCAGATGTTGGCATCCTTACACAAACTGATTTTTCATTACAACAGTGCAAATTAAAATTTGTGACTTTTGGTTTGATGTGTGGAATGTGAAAATATCAAGTGAATGAATAGATGAATTGTATACTTTGGTTATGTTTGATAGTAAGAAATATAGGTGATTTGCAATGCCATCTGTGATACAGTTCTGACATTTGTGGTGATTTTTCTACAAGATATAATAAAATGTTGGTATGAAGTTTAAAATAAAATAAATGAATTACAATGTAAAAAAGAGGATAGTTAAGTAGGATCTACAACATGCATAACAGTACTTTTTATTTTTTTATTTTACTTTTGCGGGTACAATATGTGATCATTATGTGTAAAAAAGTTGTAATTGTAACATCAAAGTAAAAACAACCTCACAAAATAAGACAAAAAATATAAAAGGTAACATATATATATATATATATATATATGCTTTAAAATTTAAAAAATGATATCAAAACATAAAATTATACAAAAGAAATCAGATATATTTTCTACAAAAAAATCAAAATAATATACGTTTTTAATTTTTAGATTTGAGAAGTTACATATTAGTTGCAATTTGATATTCTTTTTCTTCTCCCTAATAATTTTGAAATCTAATAATAAAACAACAAATACTTTATGGTAAGCATGTAAGACTTTAAATTTATAGAACTTTTTGGTTTTCATTAGACCATTTTAGTGTGTTTATTTAATTGACATTAAAATCATACAATAGATCTTAATTTTTGAGTATTTTCTTACAACTTCTACAAACTACGTTGTCAATACCAACAAAATGGATAAATATACATCAATGGCTGTATGAGCCATCCACTAGTAATTAGATAATCTAAATCATATTCCCAAGATGTCTTTTGATGATCTAACAAATCAAAGAAGAAATTCTTCTAATTTATCAAATATTTGATGTTATAAAATGGCACCGCAATTTGGTGCCATATCGTTCTCATAAAACATGATATCAAGCATAACATCTAAAGTCAAAATTGCACCTATGAAGCTTTTAGGAAGCTACACTGAAAGATTTTATGAAATTAATCTATATTTACCTATTTCTATGTAATCATATAAGTAATTATTGAGATAAATGTATATGTCCGTGACACCATCTTTACAAACCTATAAAACATGATTTCTTCCAATCACTAATAGGTTGAAAGAAACTATATATATATATATATATATATATATATATATTCAAGCTTATTTATGGGGAGGTATTTAAATAAGTAGAATGAGTAGAATGGTTGTATGAAAAATTAGTAGAAGATTTTAATTGATACCAAAAAATAAGAATAAATTTCTTGCCAAGGCTATTGGTGGATCTTAGAAATTACATCATTAACATTATTAAATATCTTGTCTTTTATTTCTAATACATTAATAATGGCCATTGTGAAGAAGATTGATTATTACTAGATATAGTATTTTTTGTATGCCAAAAATATTATAAGTTATGCATAAATTGGTAAGCTCATGATCAATACTTTGCACATGATGTTCTTCAAATAAGAAATCTCACTTTATTTGGAATTTATTAAATATATATCATTGATTTTTTTTTTAATATATTTTAAATTGATTGATTTTACTAACATTCTATTATGCTTTGTAGGAAAGATTCAATCAATAGTATTAAATGAAAATATTGATAACTTTTACTTTATAATTAATATGGACAATAGTAAGAATCTTAACTTCTAAAGTAGTAACAATGTTAAGTATTGGATGTTGTGTCCAAAAGGACAAGTATGACAATAGTTGTCTATCTAATTGGTAGGCTTGGCTCAACAATATGTGTGCCTTTTATGATCTTCTAAATCAAAAATTGCTCCTACTCAATCTCATTTATACCAGATAATTTTTGTAGAGAGTCTTATTAGCCAATTAAAAAGGAATTTATGACAAACAAGGTATAGCTACAATGGTTTGAAGAACCATGTACTTGGTAATGCAATGATGCGGCCATCAATATGCTAAAAGAGCAAGTTAGACAAACCTTGCGGTACTACAAGCCAGTATTTCCAAGCTCATTGCATATGCAACCAACAAGATTTAGTCCTATGATAGCTTTAAAATCTCAAAGATCAAAGATGCTCAAAAAAACATATGAGAGCAATATAAATTCAAAGATATGAAGGACAATGATTAAGTAGATGTGTTTAGAGCTATCAAAAATTTGAATAATATATTCTTTCTCAAGCTTGTAATAGAAGTGATTAAACATTTTAATGCCATAACAGATAATAATGATCTTACATATACATACAAAATTAAAATCAAATGTGCTTTGTTGCTTAATGTGATTGAAAAGTAAAATATTAAGTAGTTCTTCCTTAAATTGTATTCTATTGTAGCCAACTATCAAGTTTATTTTAATAAAAAAGTTGTAAAACATTTTTATCTACATAAATAAACCAATCTTTAAATTGGAGTGGCTTTCAACTTAAATTATTATTATGATGTTGTTCAAACACCTTAATCTTTGGAATTACAAATATTTTGCATGGTTAGACCTTATTAGCATTCATGAAGATCATTTGAGCTTCTAGTATCTTGATGGCTTCTTTGGTCATTAAATCTTTATTATTAATTATCAAGAAACTTCTTTAATAGGCCAAAAACCTATTCATAAGATGTATATATTATAAAATATAGTCTACATACTATTTAAATATAAATATGAATAATATGATATATTATATTTAAAATATCTTATTATTAATGTATATTCTCAATTAGTATGATATACATAATAAATAAGGTGCTCATATTCTAGTATAACTTTGTAAATAGTATAAAACATATTAATTACAAATATCTATGTTGTATATATAAAAATACTATATACATAATATAAAATAATATATTTGATGATTTTGTTGTTTCAACTACTAATAGATCAATAGTTTTACTAAAAATTTAAAAACAATACTTGACCTTGTAAATACATTTGATAAATAAAAATACTAAAATATAATATCTTTGTAAAAAGAATATACTTTAAAATTTTCTATTGCAATTAAGATTTTGATGAATATGTAAAAATTAAGTAAAAGAAATATTTTCTATATTAATATAATTTATTATAGTTATTTAAAAATATTTATTGAATATTTTATATCTCAAATATATATATATATATATATATATATATATATATATATATATATATTAAAATATTTCTATCATCAAATATAAAATATTTTATTTTTATTCAATTTTAAATATAATCTAAAATTCTTGATTTCTTAAATTTTATTAAATATTTTGTAATATAATTTATATTTACTTATTAATAATTCTTTGATGATGATTTTGAAAGTTACATTTTATAAGAAAAAAATCAATATATATATATATATAAAATTATAAAAATTATAAACACTAATTTTAGGTATAAAAAATTATAGTTTGATGGATTATAAGATTACCTTAAAATATGTGTTTTAGAAGTATATGCACTTCTTTTGAATCTTATAGTAAAATGATATTATAAAAGTTAATAAATAAAATTCAATTCTTATTTTCAACTTCAAATTAGAATTTTATTAATATTTTTATTTTAATGAAATAGTAGTTTGAATTGATTACAATTAATATTATATTATAACATTTATAGATTGGTACCATTGCAATTATCAATAATATTTTTTTAAAAAAATTAGCAAAGATTGTTATACCTAATTTATTTGTAAAATTATACAAAAGTAATATATTACAAATATTTATTTATCTAATTCATAGTTTGCAACAACTATATTATAATACCTTTTAGTCTATTTTATTTTCATCTAAGATATAATTTTATATAAATAACACAAGATTTTATTTATCTATTGTTATCAATATATTGTATATCAATAAATAAATATATATATATATATATATATATATATATATATATATATATATATCTAGAAATAGGAAATTATTAAAGCCACATCTTCATTTTGTTAATACCACACCTCTTTGCCATCCATGATTAATTTAGTCTATTTCCATCTTATCTCTCTAATCTCCCATCTATTTCATGTCTCTTGTTTCATATCCATAATCTACAATCCTTCCATCCTCATTCCTTATTTCTACTCCCCTATTCCATATTCTTAGTTTCTAATTTTACTCCATCTTCCATCCTTCCCCTTCCTCATTTCCATCCTTTGTCTTTTATTGCTATTTCCTATCTCTCATTCTTAGCCTCTAACCTTAGTTTCAAACTCTCTCGTCTCCATTCCCTAAACCCATCTTTTGTTTCTAATTACAAAATATAAGGAGAAAAACAAAAAAGAATCCACTCTTCTTTGTAACCAATTTCTTTTCATTCTTTTCTCTCATATACACACACATATATATTCTTATGAGAAATTTACTAAACAAGAGTTGTACAAGAAAATATTTATGACCAATACTTATTTGAAGCTCTTACTTTCAATTTTCAAACTCAATTCAAAAAAAGAGAAGTTAAGCTTATATTTCAAAAAAACAACTCCAACTAAAAATGAAACTAAAAGAAATGAGAGAAATAGAATAACATCAAAAATAAAAGAAAGAAAATGGGAGGAGAAAGAAAAACCAAAGTATAAGAAGGCAGAAGTGACTCATTCCACTCACACCTCTTGGAACAAGGATGGAGAACTTGAAACA